TACTTTTCAGGGATTAGTCCTCCGTGTCCCCCCACTCTGTGGACAGAGGTAGAGGCAGAAGTTACACGAGACAGTGGTGCGGAAGACCCTCCAGTTGAGAAACCACCCTCTGCCTCTTCTTCAGGCCTTAAACCCAGGAGCGGGGCTCACACTCCCCAGCAGCTGGAGAGGCAGCAAGAGGGGCTGCATTGATGGGAGCTGAGGCAGAGCTTCTCCACCCCTGCCCCTCCCTCAGGAGGCTGAGGCAAGAGGATCACTGTGTTTGAGGCCAGCCTGGGCTACGTAGTGAGCTCAAGGCCTGCCTGAACTGCATAGTGAGATTCTGCTTCAAATGGAGTGTGTGTGTGTTGGAGTGGGGGGCACTACTGGATGTGGCTAGGCAAGAAGACCCTTGGTTCAATTCCCAGTAACATTAAAAAAAAATACTTTTTTAGTATATCCTCTGCAATGTAATTATTTCCTATCTGAAATTTGTAAACTTAGCTGAGTGTCCTGTATTGTACCTTGCAATTCTACCACAGCTACAAGTGAATGGTGTTTTATAAACTGAGTCTCTACAAATTCAGAGTATGGAGGGATGGGTGGAGAGGACAATATTTAAATGAATCCTATAGAAGTTTTGTAAAAAGGTAGAGAATCTCTTTCACTTTGGCTGCAGAAGTCATCATCAGATGGACACTGAATTCATCAAAGGACAGAACATTTAAGACCCTCTGATAGCCGGGGATATAGCTCAGCGGCACAGCGCCTGCCTGGCAAGCGCAAGGTCATGAGTTTGATTCCCGGTACCAAAAAAAAATGACAAAAAATAGATGAATTTAGGGCCAGGTGTGGTGGCGCACGCCTGTAGTCCCAGCATTTGGAAGGCTGAGGTAGGAGGATCGTTGAGAGTTCGAGGCCAGCCTAGGCTACAAAGTGAGCTCAAAGGCCAGCCTGAACTGCATGGTGAGACCCTGTCTCAAAAATACAAAAAAAAAAAAAAAAAAAAAAAAGACCCTCTGATAAGGAGGCTCTTGTTTTCCTTTTTATTTGTTTTTTTTTGAGACAGGGTCTCATTATGCAGTTCAAAGTGAGACTTGAGCTCACTTTGTAGCCCAGGCTGGCCTCGAACTCACAAGAATCCTCTTGCCTCAGCCTCCTGAGTGCTAGGATTAAAGGCATGCACCACCACGCCTGGCCTAAGGCTCTCATTTTCTAAGCCACCTAACCTTCCAGCACCTGCCTACACGTCTCTACCCACACCAGCTGGGAGCCTAACTTCCCAACATCCTCCCTCCAGCCCCCGCCCCTCTGCCAACCTGAATCCTGGCCCCTGCGCTGAGCCTGAGGACATTCTCATCTCTGGAGGGGGTGTGCGACGTTCCACAAACAGAGGTGCAAATAGCAGCTTCTCCCCAAGTCTCCCCCACAAATGTGAAGTGGTCTTGGGCTCCTTGCTCTCCCCTCCTGTCCTGCTTCTGCCTTCTTTCTGTACCACTGTGATGGTGCTCATCAATGTCCTGTCTGATGCTCTCAAGAGTGTCAATAAAGCTGGCTGTGGTGGTGCATGGCTGTAATCCCAGCACTCTAGCAGGCTGAAACAAGAGAATCACAAATTTGAGCCCAGCATGGGTAATTTAGTGACTTCGTGAGATCCTGTCTCAAAATAAAAAATAAGAAAAGGGATGGGAGCTAGGTGTGGTGGTGCACACTTGTAATCCCAGCACTCAGGAGGCTGAGGCAGGAGGATCATTGCAAGTTCAAGACCAGCCTGGGCTATAAAGTGAGCTCAAGGCCAGCCTGAACTGCATAGCAAGACTCTATCTCAAAAAGACAAAAAAAAAAAAAAAAAAGGAAGAAAAGGGATGGGGATATAGGTTTAATCCCTAATATTACATGGAGAGAGAGATTCAATGCCAAAAGAGAGGCAAACACTAGGTTCTTACTAGGTTTTGCTCCAAAGTCATCTTCTAGTTTCTAACAGTGATAACAAAGCATAGGTACCCTGGCAAGTGTGAGATTCTTTGGCTTTGAGATAGTGTCTCACTCCATAGTTCAAGCTGGTCTTGAACTCACTATATAGCCCAGGTTGGGCTTAAACTTGTACAGTCCTCCAGCCTCAGCCTCCTGAGTGCTAGGATTATAGGTGTGCATGATACCTATTGATTCTTTTTTTTGGGGGGAGGGGGGGAACAGGGTGTAGCTATGTAGTTCAGGTTGTCTTTAAACTCACTGTGGAGCCCAAACTGGCCTTAAACTCGCAGTGATCCTCCTGGAGTAGCTGATACATATCATGAAGAAAAACTGAAGTGGCCTAAAGGCTTAATTATAAGAAAAGGTAAATAAGATGACAGATTAACAGGACAGCGGGAGAAGACGTAAGCCTCTCCTGCACACTGATCCCCAGTAAACACTGTTCAGTAGTCACTGCGGCACAAGCCTTGGGCCAGATCCTGAACACACAGATGAACAGAAGCTCCAGGGGGACTGCGGATGTCCAGGTTCACAGATGACCACAGTGCAGGGGCGCTCCACAGGAGTCTGTACAGAAAGCCTCTCTGCTGGTGGCACAGGACTGTGAGCCTGACTACTCAGGATGAGGCAGGACTGCAAGTCTGAGACTAGCTTGGGCAATTTAGCAAGTTTGTCTCAAAAGTGCTTTAAAAAGGCTGGGAATGCTGGGTGTGGTGGTGCATTCCTGTAATCCCAGCACTCGGGAAGCTGAGGGAAGTGGATCACCACAAGCTCGAAGCCAGCTTGGACTACATAGCAAGACTCTGCCTCAAAACACACACACACAAAAAAAAACTCAGTTGTAGAACATTTGCCTGGCATGTGTAAGGTCCTGGATTCAGTCCCTACCCAGTACTGGGGGAGGGGGGAAGACCCACCTGCAAGAAGTTGTCACAAACTCACCTCAGTTCCAAAGACAGCATCAAGGAGGTGCTGCCTGAGCTCAAATAAGTGCAAAGCCAGGTCCGACAAGAAGAAAAATGCAAGCAAAGCAGGATGGTGCAGGGGGGAGTATGGGGGCCTCCTGCTGGGACCCAGGATGAGTGGGTAAAAGGCCCCCCCCCCGACAGCCTAGGCAGCGGCCCCCAGATGACCATGGTGCTGGAGATCTTCATGTCTGTCTGTAGGGTTGTTTGGACCATAAGAGCTCTGGGAGTGAAGGACAAACCACAAAGAGCACAAAGGCAGCCTCCTGATGGTCAGTGTGTACTGGTCAGTGTGTACTACCAGCACACACAACGGAGCTGCCTAATTAAATACAGGACACCTGCACCTGGCAAAATTTAAGTCTCTGATAAACAGTAAAGTTTTTTAGTACAAGCATGTCCCAATTATTACACAAGACATACTTCTATTATAAAGTTATTTATTTGAATTTGGACATCAAGTTGTACCCCAAAAATTGAACACCAATAAAGAGGCTATGTCATTTGCCTACAACCTCTGCATCGCCCAAGGCAGATCACCAAAGGGATGGCTGTCAGAGTGCTTGGTAACTTGTCTTGCAATGGGAGGACAGCCAAATTTAGACCCAGCTGCTGGGAGGACACTGGCCACGGCCCAAGTCTCCTGAAAGCTGATTGTGCCCAAGCTTGGGACTCAGGGTGAGAAGGCAGGAGACTGCAGAATGGCCCCTTGGCCTTGATCTTTATGTCTCTGCTCATCTTTATTCAAGTGGTGAATACAGTGAAGGCACTGCGAATAAATTGCAATGAAGCAGGGAGCAATTCAAGAACTCTGTGGCCAGGTGTGGTGGTGCACACCTGTAATCCCAGCACTTGGGAGGCTGAGGCAGGAGGATAGCAGTGAGTTGAAGACCAGCCTGGGCTACATATAGTTTAAGGCCAGCATGAATTAGAGTGAGACCGTCTCAAATTAAAAAAAAAAAAAAAAAAAAGAATACGATGGCACCTCGGTTTGCAAATTTAATTCTTTCCACAATTCTGGTTGGACAAGAACAGAATCAATTTCCCCATGAAAGTCAACAATGAACCTAACCATTAATCTGACTTTGTTCACGACCAGAATTATGGAAAGAAATGTCTCTGAACTGAGGTGCCACTTTTGAGAAGCTCAGCCTTGAGAGAAGTAACGGTAACAGACAAAAATAAATGCTAATTAAGACTTTCCTGTGTGCATCCCCAGGTTCTTTTTTCCTCCCCTATTTTGAGTCTTGCTATGTCATGAAGTTGCCCAGGCTGGGCTTGCATTTGTGACCCTCCTGCTCCAACCTCAAGTGCTGGGATTACAGTGTGCCACGATGTCCCGCTTTAAGACTGCTGGATAGCATTTTTCACCATAAAATGAACACAACCCATTTAGGAGCTGGAGAAAACGAGCTACAGCACTGGATCAATGCCACAGCAGAAAGGCTGGCCTTGGAGAGGTGACTTGTCCCCTCTGGGTGGGAGGAGGAGGCAGAGGGACGGCTCTGGGGAGAACACAAGGGCCTTGCTTTCTTTGGGAGACTGAGGCAGGTGAGTTAGACGAGGGTGGATGGGAGGCTGGCTGGTACCTTCTGCAGAAATGTCCCTGCACCTTACCTCACAGCTAGCTGGGGAGTTTCCAGGAATCTGCATCTCTGCCCAGCGCCCCAGGGGCTCCTGCAGCACCCACTGCTGTTCATTATCCAGCCTGGGCCACTGTGTGAGGGCCACTGGCTCCTTCAGAGGAGCCTGAAAGGGAAGGGGGTACAGGCTGGCTCAGGAGGGGGTGGTCCTAACAGCTCCCCGGAAGAGCTCGTAGCAGCACTCCATACCTATTTCTCCACTCCTGGCACAGAGCCTCCATTCCCCACAGTTCGCACCCACAGGTCAGGATGGGTGAGTAGATAAGAAACAGATCAAGGGTGGGGGACCAGGATTTACTACTGCACCACTCGAGGGGGCCAGGCTGGAAGCTGTAGAGGGCTAGCCCTGGTGCCATGGCCCAAAGGCTTAGCTTCCTGGGCTTCACACCCACAGCTTCTGCTCTGACCCCACAGAAGTACAGTGCACAAACAGGCAGAAACCTTTTGATCAGGTTTGTTTATTTGAAATGAAACCCATTTTCCCGACACTGCAGTTAGTTCCAAAGGGACAGGAAAGGGTTTAGTGATGAAATCAACTGTCATCTGGCTCCTTCTGATTACAGTCCCACCCCACCAGCTAGCAGGGACCAGTTTTTCAAGGGTGGCCCAGCCAAGGTCAAGTAGGCTCACCCCGGTGAGGGCACCTGCTTGCAGGCCTTGCAGAGGCTCCTCTGCCCCACCAGGCCTGCACAGCCCCATCCAGCACCTCAGCAAGTGCTTGGCCCCCATGACATTCTGCCACCCACCCTGCCTCAGCCCTTGGCCTCTGCTTCCAAGAACTTGTACACAAATGTAGCAGCCTGCGTTGGGTGGCAGTTGTGCTGGGTAGGGCAATGTTTAAGACACACCTCCCATCAGTACCTAGGAAAGGAAAAGGAAGGGGGAAATGCCCCCTACAACTCCCAGCACCTCCCCTGGGCAGGTTCCCAAGGGAAAGTATTATGAAGAAGTAAAAGGAAAAGCTGCTATCAACCCGTGCTGCTTCTCATCCAGGAGGAAAGCCACAAGGAATGTTACAAGCACAGGTGCAAGACTGTTTCTGGGACTGGGACCTGTTATTCTTCCAGGGCCAAAGAATGTATGTATCATTTTTAAAGAAATAGGTATGGGTAGCAGGGTGTGGTGGGCCCACCTATAATGCCAGCATGGTCCTGTCTCAAAACAAACACAGAGAATAGGTATAGATGACAAGAAGGCTCATCCTTTGCCCCTGGGCAGGTAGGTAGCCAGCCCAGAGACGGATGCAGCCAGCCCAGCATGGAATACCTAACAACAATGTTCTAGCAACCTAGCATTTATCAACAGCAGAATACAGACATATAACACAGAGTTCCAAAATAGGAAATATTTATACTCAGGACCCAGTTAAGCCTCCCTTCCTCATTCAACACTTGGACTTCAGCTGGGCGTGGTGGCACACCCAGCACTGTGGGAGACCAGCAGGATTGTAAATCCAAGCCCAGCCAGGGCAACTTAGACAGATGGTGTCTCAAAATTTAGTAAGAATAAAAAAGGGCTTCATACCCAGGGCAGTATGAAGGCCCTGGGTTCAATCCTCAAGTTCACAAAACAAAACTAACAAAAACCAAACTAGGCTCCACCGGGTGACTGTCCAGCCTCTTTCTTGAGGCCAACACTGCCCCCTAGCCTGTAGAACTTGTCCTAGCGGGGCCACAGAGCTGAATGGGAAACACAGTGCCTCTTTACTGAGAACAGGCCACTCCAGGGCCAGCCTGAGGCCAGCCGGATTTCCCAGTGCCTGCTTCTGCTGGGGCTGTTTCAGAGCAGCCAGGGTATCTAACCAGAGCAGAGGTGGCCTTCCACCCTGACAGTTCGGGGAGACAGGAAGAAGAGGGTGATGAGTGAGGGGCCAGGTAGGCCCCATTTTCTGCAACTGACACTGCTACTGGACCTGCCTAAGCCTTCAGAGGTAGATGGGCCTCACAGGCAGCAACAGCACCCACAGGGACAAAGAGGCCAGCAGGACGCGGGGCCCAAGTGTCTTCACTGAGAGGATGCTATGTACAAGGAGGAGGGGAGGGTCTGGCCAGGCGCACCCTCACTTCATCTCATTCAACCAGGAGATCAAACTGCTCAGCAGCTTCAAACTCAGCATTCATGGCCGCAGCCCACTCATCCAGCTCCGACTTCTGGGGAAGAGAAATGGGGCTAGGTGAGTGGGGAGGGGGGACACACTGGCTGCAGCCTGTCACCCACATCCTACAGATGCTGGCCCCCCCGCACCCCTGTCAGAGCTGAGCTCTGGGCCTGCACATCCAGCAAGCACATAGCATGACGGCAGGAGAGACTTCCCTCTCCCTCACTCACCAGTATTTCCGGCACCTTTTTCTTCTTTCGCTTCTCTTTCATAACTAGGGGAGAGATTCCCGGGAGATTTGTGTCTAGGGACAGGGGCTTTACAGGGACCTTGGGGACCTCAGTTAACTTTGAACACAGGACAGGTGAGACTCCAGACAAATCTTCGGGCTCTTCAAAGCCAAAGCAAGATCGGAGGCCAGGAGTAGAGGTGGAGGCAGAGCCGAGGGTGTCCAGCCGGCTATAGGAGCGCCTGACTTTCTGAGACATTTCCACGTATCTGACATCCAATTCCTCCTCCTTGGAGTCAGACTCAGCATTCGAGGGGCACTGCACAGGAGTGGTAGCGGGGGTGACAGGGACACTACGTGTCTTGAGGAGGTCCTCCTTCGTGGGCTCCTGGAGAGGAGGGTTGTTTTCTTTCCCCAAGAAAAAAGCAATCTGCAAAGGGATAGTGGAGAGAACACCTTCCTGTTACACAGCTGGACTCCTTACTTCTGAAAATGAGTAAGGAGACTCAGGGTGGAAAAATACAATCCACAGGACAATTTTATTCATGTATTTATGGCAGCACTCAGGACCAAACACAGGGACTCACACATGCTAGGCAAGTACTCTACCAAGGAGCTACACTCCCAGCAACCCCCCCCCCACATCTTTTTTGTGGCATGAGGGACTGAACCTGGGGCCTGTACTGAGCTATATCCCCAGCCCTATTTTATCTTATTATTTTTGAGACAAGGTCTCACTATGTAGTTCTTGACTGGCTGGTCTGGACTCACTACGTAACCCAGGTTGGCCTTGAACTCAGTGATCTTCCTGCCTCAGCCTCCTGAGTGCTGTGGTTACAGATGTGTGGCACCATGCCGGGCCAATCTGATTTGGAGACAAGTCTTGCTAAGTTCCCCAGGCTGGCCTTGAAATTGTGATCCCCCTACTTCAGCCTCTTAATTAGCTGGTGCAACAGGTGTGTGCCACTGAGCCCAGGTGGATAAACACTTTTAAAAGAAAACTATCTGTCACTGCTTGTGAGGAGTCTACTCTTGTGACACCAGAACACTAGCCACATCGGTTGGTGCTGTCCCTGTTTCCATGTGTGTTTGTAATCCAGCCACCTAACACAAGCCCCCACATACCATTGAAACCAGCTCAATAATCTACCGCTCTGCCAGCTTCTAGCCTCACCCTCTATGGTCCATCTGCCACACAGCTACTGAAGATTCTCCCCAGAAGTCCATTCAGTCAGTAAGGATCTAGTAACTACTTGTCCTGTGCCTGGCACTATGCCAGGCAGTGGGAGTACAGAAGGAAGAAAGAGAAAAGCCCTGTCACCGTGTTGCTTCCATTCTATGGGGTAAAACAGATGAGACCGTGGATTGTGATACAGGTATTAAATGCTACAGAAACAAGAGGATGGAGTACTGGGGTGGGCTGGAACTATAGGCCTCACTGAGAAAGCGACATGTGAGCTACAACTGGAAGCTGGGGAGGGAATGGGTTGTGTGGACACCAGAAGGAAAAGCATTCTAAGTAGGAGAAACAGAAGATGCAAAAGCCCTGAGGACAAAGTGTACAAGTCAGGGTCAAGGAACAAGGAGGTCATTGTGGCCAAACTGGAAAAAAGTAAGGGGCAAAGGACCAAAGACAAGATTTGAAAGGTAATGGGGACGGGGAGATACACTGCTCTGGAGGCCACTATAAGGGCTTCTTCTCTGATTTTTTTTTTTTTTTTTTTGTCTTTTTGAGACAGAGTCTCACTATGCAGCTCAGGCTGGCCTTGAGCTCACTTTGTAGCCCAGGCTGGTCTTGAACTCTCAAGGATCCTCCTGCCTCAGCGTCCCGAGTGCTCGGATTACAGGTGTGCGCCACCACGCCTGGCTGGGGCTTCTGCTCTGAGACAAAGGGAGCCATGGCAAGGTTGGAGACAGGAAAGGCTTAACCTGACACAAGCAGAGCTTCCTATATTGGCTGCTTATAAAACCCCTCTTGGCTCAGATGTTTCCTCAGGGAGGCTGTACCTTACCATGGGCTCCAAGAAAGCCTCACCTCACCTCTGGTATTTATCTAGCCACACTGACCTTTCATTTCCTGTATAGCAACATCACTATCTGATGCTGGCTTGTGTACTGGTTGACTCAATCACCCCAGCTAGTAACGGGAGCTTCCCGACAGCAGGGATCTTCGTCGGCTGGCTTTGTATTTTGAACGCACCGTAAGTAAATACTTGATGTACATGAAACTTGGCATTGAGCTTTCTGGAGGCCAAGGTAAGGATGCAGGCAGAACAAATCAACCGGGGTCTAATACTAGGAAGTAAAATAGTTTATAGAAAGAGATATTTCCTGGCAACAAACTCTGGAGAATGTGCCCTTTGGGATCAGTAAAAGGGATGCTCAACAGAATGGGAACACTCTTGACTATTTCGTTCTTCTCCCCTAAGGCCAAGCAGTCACCTAGATCCTGGCAACTTTATCAGAAAAGCCGGGGGTGGTGGCGCACACCTGTAATTCCAGCACTCAGAAGAGGCAGGAAGATCACAGTGAGTTCGAAGCCAGCCTGAACTACATAGTGAGACTCTGTTTCAAAACAAAACAAAACAAAACAAAAATCTAAAAAAAATAATAATCTATCCGTCAAGCTGGGTGTGGTAGCGCACACCTGTAGTCCTAGCCCTTGGCAGGCTGAGACAGGAGGATTACTGCAAATTCAAGGCCAGCCTGGGCTACATAGTGAATTTAATGCCAAGTTGAACTATATAATGTCTCAAACAAACAAACAAAAAATCTATCAGTTGGGGCCAGGGATGTAGCTCAGTGGCACAGTGCCTGCCCAGCAAGCGAGAGGTCGTGAGTTTGATTCCTGGTACCAAAAAAAAATCAGTTAACTAACAAGAATGAACATAAGTCTCTGCTTGCAAGGTGTTTACATTCATATAGGGAAAGACATCAAACATATGAGCAAATACACTATCAGATGTTGATAAGGTCTAAGAGAATTACACAGAGAAGTGTAAAAAAAAAAAAAAAATAGGGTAAAAGTGCTTAGGGAGCAAAGCATGGCGGTGCATGTCTATAGTCCCAGCTACTTAGGAGGCTGAAACAGGAGGATCCACAGTTTGAAGCCATTCCAGGGAACTTAGCAAGACCCTGGCTCAAAAATAAATAAATAAAATAAATGAAAAGGGCTGGAGATGCAGCTCAGTGCTCCCTGAGTTCAATCCCCAGTACTAGGGAAAAAAGAATGGGCAGGGAAGGTCTTTGTGAGGAAGTTTCCTTTGAGCCCAGCCCTGCTTCTGTGTGATGGGACAGTCATGCTGAGAATGGGAGGAAAGGAGGCACACACCTCAGTCAGGTCTTCACCAACTCCCTTCAGAATTCCTGGGGTTCACATCCTCCTATCTGGTCTCAGGGCCCCAGGGCAGCCATTCTCCACATACCCCTTTCCCCCCACTTCACTCAGGAATCTTTTCATAACATTCAAGCTTGACTCAGCCACTCCCTTGGTCAAAACTTTACACAGGCAGCTGGGGTAAACCTCAGTAGAGAGGTGTCTACTTAGCAAACACAGTGCCTTGGGTTTGATCTCCAGGACCACACACAACAACAAACAAAACAGAACATCTCCAAAGGCTGCCCACAGATGATAAATGAAGCTTGAGCCTGTGAGCGTGGTTTTCATGCCTCATCAGGATGTGCTCTGACCTAGCAAGCTCTTTCCTCTGACTTGGTCTGCTCTACACCCATCAAATAAAACTGCTATTCCTCAAATTTCATGATTTTTCTCTGTACTCAGATCTTTTCTTAGAGCATGGTTTCCTTTGCCCAGAACCCTGGTTTTAAAAGACTTGGTTTGGGCCGGGGATATAGCTCAGTGGCATAAGTGCCTGCCTGGCAAGTGCAAGGTCGTGAGTTTGGTTCCCGGTACCGGAGAAAAACCAAAAAAAAAAAAAAAAATAAATAAAAGACTTGGTTTGGGCCGGGGATATAGCTCAGTGGCATAAGTGCCTGCCTGGCAAGTGCAAGGTCCTGAGTTAGATTCCCAGTACCCACAAAAAAAAAGGCAGGCCAGGTGTGATGGCGCACACCTTTAATCCCAGCATTCAGCACGCTGAGATAGGAGGACTGCTTTGAGTCCAGACCAGTTTAGGTTGCATAGCAAGTTCTCTTTTTTTTTGTCTTTTTGAGACAGGGTCTTGCTATGCAGTTCAGGCTGAGCTCACTTTGTAGCCCAGGGTGGCCTCGAACTCGCAACAATTCTCCTGCCTCAGCCTCCCGAGTGCTGCGATTACAGGCATGCACCACCACGCCTGGCGACATAGCAAGTTCAAGGCCAGTCTGAACTACCTAGTGAGACCCTGTCTCAAAAACAAAAACCAAAACAAAAAATCTGGAAAAGGCAGTTAGCACTGCTCATTCTTTATATGTCAGATTTTCTATTAATGAACAATCCTTAATAAGAAGTTCTGCTAAAACTGTAAAAGTACCAAATATATAACAACCATAAGTAAGACGGAAGGACAGCTCGGTGTGATGACATATGCCTATAAACCCAGCACTCTAGAGGCTGAGGCAGGAGAATCACAAATTCAAGATCAGTTTGGGCAACTTAGCAAGATGCTGTCTCAAAATAAATAAAGGCTGGGGGTGCAGCTCAATGAGAAGGTCCTGGTACAATCCTCCATACCTTAAAAAAAAAAAATCTGAAGGCAAAATAGCTTAGAAAGAGGACAGTGATTAGGACACAGCTGGGCTTTTGAAGAAAAATAGTTGAAACATACAGAGTACGGGCTATCAGGAGCAAAGAATGAAAAACTTAAGAAAAAATAAAATAAAAAATGTTAAAAGTGAGTTAAGTTTGTAAGGAGTAATCAAGACTGGCCTTGGGGCTGGGGATTTAGCTCAGGGGCACAGCGCCTGCCTGGCAAGCGCGAGCTCCTTGAGTTCGATTCCCGGTACGGGAAAAATACCAAAAGAGGAAAAAAAAAAAAAAAAGACTGGCCTTGCCAGGAATGTGGCACACGTCTGTAATCCCAACACTCAGAGGCAGAGGCAGGAGAATCACAGAATTTGAGGCCAGCCTGGGTTACATAATGAATTTAAAACAGCCTGAACTACATAGTGAGACCTTGTCTCAAACTCTACTCACTCACACAAAAGACTGGCAACCATGATGTCCAAAGGCATATTTTCAAATATGGCAAAGGCATATTTTCAAATATTTTCAAATATGGGTGGAAGTGAACAGCCAGTATTGCCCTCCCCCAGCTGTCGAGTGACCAGCATCCCACCCAACTAAGCAAATGGAAATGAACTCACCCTAGGGCTCCTGCGAGGAGAGTGGACAGCTGGGACCTGTGGGGACAACGCCAACTGATCAGATAGTCAACCCCTAGTCTTGATCATCCACCCATAATCCCCTCTCTTAGCCCTCACCTTTACAGCATGTGCCACAATCTTTTTCAAGACGATGGGCTTTCTGACCGGAGCCGCAGGGGGTGCCTGAAAAGCAGGAGTGACCATGATGAGCTCTACATTAGTTTTGGGGAAGTAACTAAGAAACTCAGAGCTCACCTTCTGACAGATTTCAGGAAGGACGCTCGGGAGATGAGAGCCTGATTTTCGCTGAGACCTCCGCAGAGGTTTAGGAGATGGAGCCGTGGGCTCTGGAAGGAGAAAAACGTTCCTAGGTTCACAAAGACTCTAGGACCTACAAGACTTTGGCCGGGGAGAGACCAAGAAAAGGTTCCCAAACAAGCCCTTTAGGGATGCCATTAGAGAAGACGAGCCTCTTTCGGTAGGGGAAGGGCTCGCGTCCCCCAAACGGCTCGGCCCCATCTCTTCCGCGCGCCCTCCGCTCACCAGAGTGCCGAGAGGCCCCTACGGACCGCGTTAGCCTCCCAGACATATCTAGTTTCTGTCTTGACCTCCTCTGCCACCGCAGCCGCGGGCCCGCGCCAACCGCAGGGATCGTCGGCTACTCTGAAAGCGTTCGAATTACCCGCTCTGCCTGGAAGGAAGCGGAAGTGACGCAAGTGGGAGCGCTGCTGCGCCCGGAATCCCTAGCTTTTCACCCCAAAGCCGGGGCGTGGCCCGCGCACGGCGCTTGGCGTCATCAGAGCGCGCCGCACCCGGAAGAGACGTGGCAGCGGAGGATAATCGAGGCGGCTCGGGCTGAAGCGGGCAGAGCGGCAGCGGGTGAGCGCAATACCTGTCCTGCGCCTCGAACCAGTGCTTGCGCTAGTCGGGACCGGAGGCGCGGCCGATCAGTAACACAGGTAGAAGGAATCTGTACGGAAGGGGCGGGGCCACAAGGGGTGGGACTCAAGAAGGGCCCTAGGGGCGGGGTCGGTGATATCTGGGAGTTGCTGGTAGGGAGGGGGTGGGATTCAGGAGGAATGAGGGGTCTTCAGAGGCGGGACTTATCCAGGGGGCGTGGCCCATCCGGAACGGAGGAAGTGGGCGAGAATTTGGGATTCGGGTGCATACGAATAGTGCCTGGAGGAGTTAGGAATGGAGAGGTTAGGGCTGGTGAGAAGTGATGTCCGCCAGAACCTGGCTTCCTGTTAACTCCGTCCCTTTCGCTAGGGTCGGTCATGGGACTTTGCAAGTGCCCCAAGAGGAAGGTGACCAACCTATTTTGTTTCGAGCACCGAGTCAACGTCTGCGAGCACTGCCTGGTAGCCAATCACGCCAAGGTGGGACATTCAAGGCAATGGCTGAGCAGGGTACTTGGTGGACGGACAATGCTGGCACTGCCAAATCCATCCATCACTCTAGCCTCGCGCTACTGTGTTAGCTCCCCAAGGGCAAGGACCTGGTTTCTTTTGCTCACTGCTTTATTTCCAGCACCTAAATAGTCTGACGCACAGTAAGTGTTCAATAAATATTTATTAGTTAAACAAAAAGGTGAGTTCCTCTGTGATGAGTGAAAAGAGTTGGACCTTGCAGTGGTAGGTGGTGAAGCCCCAGCTCCAGTTGTGACTTCTTTCTCCCACTTCAGTGCATCGTACAGTCCTACCTGCAGTGGCTCCAAGATAGTGACTACAACCCCAACTGCCGCCTTTGCAGCACACCCCTGGCCAGCCGGGAGACGACCCGACTTGTCTGCTATGGTGAGGCATGGGCACCCTGAAGGGATCAGGCAGCTTCTCTGACTGGCCCAGTTTAGTGACTCAAGCAGTAGGACAGTGAGTTCCCCAAGCCAGGGAGGCCGATGCTGCAGTTAGTCCTAGTCTGTTAGGTTACTTTCCTGATATGTAAACTTGGGCAAGTCATTTTCCTTCTCTAGGCCTCATTGTTTTTCCTAAAAGGCAAGGATCCTACTTCCTGCCCTGCCAACCTTGGAGAGTTGAGCGAGAGCCAGTCAAGCTTGTGAGGATGGTTGTAGCTGTGAGGAGTAGCTAGCCACCAGCAGGGCACTTTCAGATATTTGGGATCCATTACTGACTGCAAGATGAAACAGAGAGGAAGTGTTTCCCACATTGAAATTAGTTATGGGGAGTCAGAAGTCATATGTGTCATGACTGTGACCTGAGTCCAGTGTAAGAGCCTCAGCTTCAGTTTTTGAAGGAGCTGGTGCAAAACAGGCAGCTCTGTGTATTTCTTCATCCATGTGAGTGTGTGTGTATACTTGCATGAATTCAATCCACATTGTGTCTTTATATGATTGCTTATTGTGGGTGTGTGTGTAAAATATGTATGTGAACATGAGTATGTTGTAGACACACAAGGCAAATGTGGGTGGGTGAGGGTGCTTGAGCGTTAACAAATGTGTAAGTTTCAGATGTGTATGAGAGCTAGTTTAGATATTGGAAAAGGCACTCGTGTTTGTGTGCTCATAAGCATGTGCTCATTTGTGCCTATGGATGTATATCCATGCAAACACGTGCCTGTGTGTATATCTGGGAACCTTTGCTGAAACTATTCTTGATTAGCCATTAGCTGAAGGATGGTGATGAGTGCAGTCCCAGAGAGGACTCCCTCAAAGGGTAGGTGGCATTTTCTTCCCATCCACCCTCTTGTGGGCTGGCAACTTAGTGGCATCTGCTTTGAGTTAGTCAGATGGTGGTTTCCATCTGCTTTGAGTTAGTCAGATGGTGGTTTCCAAGAAGCCTAAAATCACCGGGAACACTGAGGAAATACACCTGGGGTGAGGAGGCAACAGAGAGGCCCTGGTCATCCATGTATGTGCCCTTTCATCCCTGCAGTAGGCTGGGGCCCATTGCTCTGCTAGAAGCTCAAAAAGACTTCTTCATCATGCCTTTCCTTCTCTATTCCATGGTCCCTAAGATCTCTTCCATTGGGCCTGCCTCAATGAACGTGCTGCCCAGTTACCCCGAAACACAGCGCCTGCTGGCTATCAGTGTCCTAGCTGCAACGGTCCCATCTTCCCCCCAACCAACCTGGCTGGCCCTGTAGCTTCTGCACTGAGAGAGAAGCTGGCTACCGTCAACTGGGCCCGAGCAGGACTGGGCCTCCCTCTGGTGAGAGTCCCTCTGTCTGTCTGTTCACCCTGGGCCTTCGGTTAGTGGCTGGGCGGGCTGGTAACCCAGACTCCTTCTTTCAGATTGATGAGGTGATGAGCCCAGAGCCTGAGCCCCTCAATTCATCCAGCTTCTCTGACTGGTCCAGCTTTAATGGTAAGTGTTGGCCTCCATCTGCTATCCGGCCCCTTCCCTCCCAGCGCTTCTGACTGTTCTTCTCTGTCCACAGCCACTGGCCCCCCTGCACAGGAGAAGATAGAAAGTACTTCTGCACCCACAGTCTTCTACAGCCAGGCCCCTCGGTCCCCTTCATCACCCAGCCCACCTGACCAGCACACAGTCATCCACATGGGCAGTTCTGAGCCCTCAACTCACGGTGAGCCAGGGAATTATCTGGGCTTCAGAAAGATGAATGGGGTACGCGGTTGGTTGTGGGAGGAGCTCAAGTATCTAGAGCTCCACTGGAATGCCCTTTCCTCCCTCCAAGCACAGGCATCACCCCCTCGCAATCCCAAAATACTCTGCTAGTCTGGGGAAGACAGGAGATCCTTGCCTCTGACACACACACAGAGCAGGTTCCCTGAATCTATTGGTGCTCTTGGCTCCACCCCTGCAGCCCCAAGGAAGGTGTATGACACACGGGACGATGACCGGGCGCCAGCCCTCCATGGGGATTACGATGATGACAAGTACCGCCGCCGGCCTGCCCTGGGCTGGCTGGCCCAGCTGCTCAGGTACATGGGATCAGGCGGGAGGCAGAACCCTTGGAAGGACAACTTGACAGCGAAAAGGACTTACACCAGGCGCTAACCATATCTGGTGCAAGGACTGTGCCGAGCGGCCTCTGCTGGGCAGTAAAAGCCTCACTGTCTCCTGTCTCGGGTCCTTGCATCCCACAGGAGCTCTGGACTCAGACTCTTTGAGGCCTCTTCCTGCTTTTTGTTCCCTGTGCCTGACACAATGCAGTTTTCAGAACACAGTTAGATACTTCAGCTGCTTTGAGCTGCACAGTAACCTTGTGGTGGAGTAACCTATGGCACAGATGAGGAAACTGAGGGTCAGGGGTGGTGACTAGGGCTCCCCTTCATGCCTGGCCTCCGGGCTGACCTCACTTTGCCTTCATTCCCCAGGAGCCGGGCCGGGTCTCGGAAGCGGCCGCTGACCCTACTGCAGCGGGCAGGGCTGCTGCTGCTCTTGGGGCTGCTGGGTTTCCTGGCCCTCCTTGCCCTGATGTCTCGCCTGGGCCGGGCTGCAGCTGACAGTGATCCCAATCTGGACCCACTCATGAACCCTCACATCCGTGTGGGCCCCTCATGAGCCCTGGGTTGTGACTGGGCCAGCCCAGGGCTCCAAGGAGGGAAGACTGGGGGACCTAGGAGCTCTTCTCCATTCCTGTCCCTCAAGCCTAAGACACTAAGATCCCAGGCCCACAGCCAAGGCCACCAGAGCAGCTGCAGGCTGGGCCTGGAGTCCTGTAGGTGAAGCATTTGTCTTAATTTGCTTCTTGGGTCTCCTGCCTCCCACCCCAACCCCTCAAAGGAGCTGACAGGGGCGAATAAACAACAGACTTTATTAAAACACCCAAAGCAAGCTTTTCCTTACCCCTTCGCAGCCTTGGCCCATCCCCCGGCTTCAGTGGCTTTCCTCTCGGTGCTCAATGGTCAGAAACTCCAGAGACAAGCGGTTGAAGAACATGATCCCATTGAGTACTGGGCAGAGCAGAGAGCCATCAGCCCCACACCCTGCCCCTCCTTCCACCCCTCAGTCCTGAGCTCCCCCTCCTCACCCTCTGAGCACTACTCACTCAGGATGGTTAGGGCAGAGCACTGGAAGTATTTGTCGTCTGTCATCTCGGCGTAGACCGACCCCATGGCAGCCCAGCAGACGCTCATCACCTGGGAGAACTGTAGGCACATCCAGTGGGGAGCGGCCCCCAACCCCGACCCAACAGCCAGGGCACCCCAGCCCCCTGCCAGCTCTGAGCGCCCACCATCAGGATAGGTGTGTAGTTAAAGCTCATGCAGTCGTAGTGGTAGGTGATGTAGAAGTTGTACAGGTCCCTGGCAAAGATGCCCAGGTGTATGCAGAAAAGCAGGAGGGCGGCCACAGTGAGCATCATGCCTTCCGGGAAGAAGAGCACGGCCACACGGTCCCGCCACCGCATCCTGAGCGCGGTGAGGGCCTCTGGTCAGACCCAAGCCCTGGAGTAAGGGGGAGACTGGCCAGAGCAGCAGCAGAACCCCCTGCTTCCACATCGCCCCATCTGGAACAACAGCAGGATTCCAGAACTGAGAGGTCACTGGAGGGGCGAGGCTCTAGAACCCAGGCCAATTCCAGAAAAAACAGGAGTGTTTGACGGCTGGCTGGGGGTGCTTGGAATTGTGGGGGCTAGGCAGAAGGTGCAGAGTGGTGGGGGTGGGGGTGTTGGTGATGGGACAGTGTGGTTCCGCATCCCACAGTTGCACAGAGCTAGTGTGGGCACATTCACTGACAGAGATCAAGCTCGGGGGTATGAGCTAAGCCTGTAGCAAGTTTGGGGATGAGAGGAGGATTCAGATGCACAGCCGGGAGGCTTCCTTGGTGGGGAACCTGGACTCCAGGTTCCAAGTTGGCTCTATCACGGCTGGGGAAGAACTAAGGGAGAGGACAGTGTATTCTCCATAGCCACCCTGGGAGCGTCCTCGTGCCTCTCCAGGTGTGGCCCAGAGAGCAGCTGGCTTTTTCAGGACCAGTGCTCACCAGCTGTGCCCTGTCCACCTCACATGTGTGGAGCTTCACACCCATCATCCCCCTTGTTCCCAGAGGCCCCTGAGAAGGCTGGGGCTGGTAGCGTCAGTCTTGTGAGTCTGAGGCAGAAAAGGATTGTTCTGCTCAAGCTTTCATGGTCAGTGAGCCATACTCTGTTCTGAAGCGAAACTCTCATACCCTTCATACTCTATAAGAGGTGAGATCGCAGATGCTCTCAAAATTATGCAGCAAAACATCCCATAATGGTGTGGAGGGACAGGCAAGCTCCCAAGGATTGAAGAGGAGGGAAGGACTCGCTCAGCCTTGCCACCCCATTTGCTGCCTGGCCCCAGAGTTAGGTTCTAGTCCCACTCTGAGCTGTGGCCCAGATCCTGCATCCACCAAGTTTGCTTGCTGCTCCAACCCTGTTGGTCTCCATAGTTCCCCGACCCCATCCTTGCCGTGGTTTTTTTTGTGTATGTGTGTGTGTGTGGTGTTAGGGTTAATGCCCAGGGCCTCAAGAATGCTAAGACCTGTACTGCTGTGCTACATCCTGGCCCACTGTGGTTTGAATACATGGTTTGTCCCCCTGAACTCAGGTGGTAGTTCAATCTTGAAAATTATGTTAATGATATTAAGAGAGTGGAATTTAATCTGGCTGTGGAATTTAGAGGTGAGGCCTTTGGGAAGTAATTAGATGAAGTCATTAGGGTAGAAGCCCTTTGATTGAGTCCTGGTGGCTTTGAGAAAAAGGAAAACCACACTGTGATGTGACTCAGTCATTGCACCATCAACAACAACAAACTTTTTCCTTTTAAAATAGTCTGCTTGCGAGGCATGGTGGCTCATGTCTGTAATCCCAGCAGGAGGCTGAGACAGGAGGATCACTGTGAGCTTGAGGCCAGTTTTGGCTACAAAGTGAATTCAGTGCCAGCCTGAAGTGCATGGTGAAACCCTGTCTCAGAAAGACCAAAAAAAAAAAAAAAAA